AGTAACAATGTAATGTTTTTTTGGAAATAAATTTTAGACTCCTTAAGGAAAAAGAACATGTATGTTTTTTTTTAAAAAACTCCTTCGAAGTTCAGTTTTTAGGATTATGGATATAAATGGAATTTTGAGATTTTTCCAGGAATTCATCAAAATTCTATCTCTTTGATAATCGTAATGATAGAAATATTGTATGATTTCACTTATTAAAACTATTAATACATTCTATATATATGCATATATGCACTAGAAAACCTACTATTTGAAAAATTTAAAAATTACTTAGTGATTTAAAAAGATCCAACAATAAATGTGAATTGTTAGTTCTAATGACAAAAATGACATGAATAACTTAACTGTTGTTAGTTCCCTTAATTTTTCACTTAACATATTTGTACCATATTTTGATTTCTTTCTTATTCAATTAACTTCTAAACCATAGTTTTAATTGACCTTTTTCACTTTATTACAACTTTCTAAATTTTGTTGTTATTGTTATATGTATAAAATTTACCATCAACTAATAGTGCATTGTATCAAGTTATTTTGGATATCTTTGAATTTATCAAAAAATGGCCAAAAGATATGTATATATACACACATTATCACAAAACATATTATGTATTTTTGAAAATTTTGCCAAGAGAGGTCTTTATGGCTATAAGGGATTTTTAAATAACTTGATATGCAAACAAATTAAATTGTTTTCTTCAATAATATAATTTTAGTTTAGTTAGTTAGTTATTTATATTCTATCATAAATACCAAAAATATTAAAATTTAATAATAAGTAGATATTGTATAATCTAAAAATATTATGCATGATTCTATATTCTACTTATTAATCAAAATTGCAATAAACATGTATAAAAAAAATATATTCTTTAATAATTGTGCAAAGATTTTATTACCATTATTCTTAAGTATATGGAAAGTATATAATTTATCATGAATCACCAACTTATGTTGTAGTCATTCTTTTATACAAAACATCGCTCCTTATGAAGGACATGAATCTCGAAGAAAGAAATCCTTAATACACTCTTGTGACACTGAAAAGAACTAGAAAGTTACTCAAAGATGATATATTATTAAATTAAAATGGCTATTGCCAAAAACAAGAAGACTAGAAAGTCTTAAAACAAGACTAAAGACTAAAAAAGCATTGACAAGAGTAAAGAAGGCTTCACTCTTGCCTCCATATATACTCTTAACTAGGAGCCACATGGCAATGTCCTATAAAACCTCCAAAACATGTTGACTTTGCAAGACATGTATTTTAACTTGCAAGGAAAGTTTTCTATATGTGTGCCATGCAGTTAAATTGTTTTGCAAGCTATCAACATGTGGTTAACTTGTTGATCAAGTTTTTAACCTACCAATCAACTACAAATACATGTAAAGTCAAAGCAATGTCTATGAAGCTTCTAGGAAGCTTTTCTAGAAGGTATTATGAAATTAACCTATTTTTATCTACTTTTACCTACTTCTATCTAATCATATAGATATTTATTAGAACACCTTTGTATATTTGTAACGCTCATATATAGAATTTTTTTTTATAAATACTATGAAATATCACTATTATTAAAACAATACTTAATATTTATATAGGAATATCTTTGTAGTAAAACTACTAATTTATATTATAATACTTTTTATTAATTACAAAATATTACAAAAAGAATCATAAGATATAAAATAAAATATGAATATATGATTTAATTCTAATCTATTTTTTTTATTTAATTATTTTTAAATATATATACATACAAAGATTGAAGAAATAATATTTTAGATTGAAAAAATAAAACCATATTCTATTACAATTATTATTAAAGATGCTTGTGTTAGGCTTTAAAGCATTCAAATTAACAATTCTAAGAATTATTTCTTCTTTTGTACTATATATATATATATATATATATATATATATATAAATAAATAAAATTTATGATTTCTAATATAAATTTTTAATATTTTTAATAAAGCATTTAAGCTACACATGACTAGTGCATGAATTATTAAATTACACTTAAGACAACTTTATATTATAGCTATTCAAATGACAATTACCAAAGGCTAGATAACTAAAGACTCTAAGAACTAGACTAGAAGTAAGAAAGAAATTGACAAGAGTGAAGAAAGCTTTATTCTTACCTCTACATATACTATTTATTTAAATATTATATGACAACATTCTATTTGATTTTCAACACAAGTCTAATTTGTAAGACACATGTCTTAACTTGTAAGACAAGTTTCCTATGTGTATGTCATATTATTAGCTTATTCTACAAGCTATCAACACGTGTGACATGTAGTTAGTTTGTTGGCTAAGTTTCCAACCTATCAATCATCTATAGACATATATAAAGATGAAATTGTGTCAATGAAGCTTTTAAGAAGATTTTCTATAAGATATTATCAAATTAATCTACTTTTACCTATTTCTATTTATTCATATTATTTAGATAATAATATATATATATATATATATATATATATTCATAATAATATCCCCGTTTTTAGGAATAAATTCTATGAAGAGCGATGATTACATGTTGAAGAAGTCCAAAATAAAGCAAATTATATTTGACACATATTCTAACTATTGTTCTTTTTAAAGGTAGTTGATAGATCTTTTAAGCCATCATTAATGTTCCATTCTAAGGTAAGAAGACCACCTTGGTATTTGATCATTATTAAAGCCTTCATAACTTCCTTCAAAGAAAACATTTAAAACACCATTAAGAGTTGTTTATACCTCTAATAAAATCACCAAACATTAGAAGTTTCTTCTAAGGTTGTGATACTAAATACATTGTATTTTACCATCTATTCAAGAAAGAACATATTATTTTTGAAGGTCTTTATCTCAATTATGTCATCTTGAAGGTTGTGACAATTGCAGTGTCTCATCTAATAAGTCAATAAACAATGGCTCTTAAGTTGAATCTATTGGCTATTGATTTTCTATCTCGTTAGTACCAAAAATACACCAAAATTACAATCAAGGATAGAAAGTTGAATGTAAACTTTTTTAAATTACAATTCTTTTATAGCAAAGATTTATTATTCTTTATTTTTATTTTGAAAGATTTTGTTGATGAAAAGTATAAACCTTCTTTGGTGCATTTGCAAGTTTCTTAGTGGGCTTTTATGTGCATTCACTAACATCATATTTCTTCCAATGAACAAGATAATCTAACAGATTTTGGTGCCACCTTGAATCTAAGACAACTTTGACCTCAAACTCTTCATTATTATCCACTTTTATAGGAGCAAGTAACACTTATTATCATCATGGTTTATTAATTATCTTGTACAGCTCAAGGAAAGTCACATGAAATACTAGATGGATCTTCATTCACTCCAGTAGATATAATCAATAAGCAAATATATTGATTTTTTTACAAATAAAAAAAGGTTCAATCTTATGATAATCAAACTTGTCTTAAAGATAAATAGTCTTAATATTACAAAAAAGTAATCATATCTTGTCATTTACATTAAATTATAGTTGTTTCATGTAATAGACATCCTTATTCATCTTTTATCATTCTTGAGCTTTTTTTAATCATACCTTCATTTTTATATATAACTCTGCCAAATAATTTACTAAAGCTTCTATCATAGGATTATCAACTTTTAAAAAGTCAAAAGTATCAAGTTATAAAGAATAACCATAATTGACAAATATAAGTGTTTGTAGAGTAAGAAAAGTATATCAAATTATTGTATACTAATTCTACTAATAATAAAAGAATTGTCTATAGACTTTGTGATTTTTATATCCTAAATAGACATCTATTATAAAAGAAGGTGAGGGATTTGAAGAGATAACAAGATCTTTATTAGATGTTGCATATGATTCTAGCAACATGGTGCCTATTATAGCTAAAAAAAATTGTTCTCCAATACACTATCTTCTTTGGCAACCATTTTCTTCATTTTGTGATTATATTGTTTTTTTGGACAATGTTAAGCAATATTCTTAGCTTCTCCATAATATAGGTATAAACCCTCTTGATGACGTCAAGCATTTTCTCATTTAATAAAAAGTTTAAAACATATCATATCAATTTCTATTTGTTTTGACATTGATAAATAAGTTTTTGAAAACTTAGGAGCTATCGTCATTATTTGACTTATTCCTCTCTAATCAAATTTTTATTCTTGATATCTTTTAAATATTTGATTGTTGTATGTAATGGCTTAAGCAATAAATTGTTCCAAAAAATCTGCTTTCTACATTGTCAATAAAATAAAAAAATCTTTGATGTTATTTTTTAATATATATTAAAATTAATTGATAAGGGCTTTGTTATTCCAATCTACGTGACAAGCAAAGTTTTAGAATTCACTAACATAAATGGTGGCTGACCATAATCCTTCTCGTAAAAATAAGAGCTAGGTCTTTGCTACTCTTTTTTAATCTCTTTCTCTAAATATGGCTATAAATACTTCTAAGAATGAATTCAAATCATAAAAGAGCTATAAATCTTTTTATTATCAAAAGTACAAACCAAGAAAGAGTGTGAATTAAAATAAATCCCTATTAGTTAGAAGCCTATATTAATTCATAATAATTTTAATTATATAAATCATATAATAATTCCTCTTAATGTTTGATTTATATCCAAAAAGTCTTATAACATTCCAATTGTATTTTAAAATAAACCACTTTAATAAGTAATTTATTCTAAATCACATCTACCAATTAACTTATGAGTGATTAAATAAAAGTTCTTCTTACTTCTTGTTAAGAAAAATTAACTTCTCAAACAATTTGAATTCACACTCAAACAATCACAATCCACAATATAAGCCACTTAACAATACAAAAAACCCATTTATACAACTTATAAAATCACACTTGCAAGAGAATTTTTTTATATAATTTAATTTAATTTTTTGACATTTTTAATTTTTAATTTTTATATGGTATTAATTATCATCCAAATTTCAAATTATATCTAATTTTTTTCATCTACAAATAATTTTCATCCAAAAATGACTTTTCACCTACACACAAGGATTCATCCAATTCGAAATAAGATCCATCTACAATTTACCATCTACATTCAACCTAAGTTCATCTAAAGAAGTTGTCGTCTAACTTAATTCAAATTTATCATCAACTTCATCCAAAATAGTTGTCAAAACCTAATTTAACATCAACCCTAATAGCTTGGTTTTAATTGTATTTAAATTCACTTGATTGTCTACACATACTGTCCTTGGAAATTCTCATAGAAGATAGAAGCGTCGTTGATGAATCCGCATGAAGGATGGAAAGCGCCTCCAATTTCGATCACCCATGGACCTTTACTTCAACCGTCCCTCCTTGAGCAAGCTCCACACAGGAATTCAGCTTCAGCAACTGCTCATCCACAGTGGACAGCTCTTACTATTAGAATCATGCACAACCACATTTGGCCTGGTGAACAACCTTGTCAAACACTTCAGTCATACCCACTTAATCACCAATTCCCAAGCTATGAGCTCAGATGCTTTGGCTTGGTCTTCCCTTACTCAATTAATGTCTTATGAATTGTTGCTTATAATGTTAGATTGATTGAACAGAGCTGGAACAAAAAGAATACTAAAACTGACCTTTATAGTACCGCCACACTAACTATTCACTACCACTATGAATGTGGATTTGTATTAAGCGTTACCAATACTTTTTAAGCTCCCTACGTCTATTCTTACTACAACTATAGTGTATACCTTCGTTGCAGCTACGGTTCTTGTTGCTACTCAAGGCATGACTAGTGTATTGCAAATGGGACACAATTGGAGCAAGGCACCACAAATTGTCTTGTTTGAGTACCGGTTGCAACAATGCAAAGATAACGACGACTTGAGTCAGTTTAATAGCACTTGTCTTGGAAGCGTCGAGGCTCGTCGACGACTCAAACTCTACCAGTTTGACTTCACTAAGGAGTCCAAATTGGATCCCACACAACTATTCATCCGTGCAGCAACTAATCAACAATGTTTCTGAATTTGATGATGACTTCCAACGTTGACACCACGCCACACTTTAAATTCTGCCAACAATTCGAAGAGGCCTTCGTGCCGACCTGCACCAAAGATTGTTAAAGAGAGTCTACGAGCTTCAAGTCCACCTTTCTTCGCAGTGCCACCAATGATGATGAAAGTAGGAAGACGGCATTGAACTACTGAGGAAATATCAATCAAGAACTACTGGCACAAGTACCGCTCACGATGAATCACAACCATATGATGTAAGGAGATTCAACAACTCCTCTCTTTCGTTCAGTCGCAATGATTTGAAGCCATCGTACTGAATCAATAAGAACAAAGACTGACCAAGCCCAATTGCCTTCGCCGTAATTCCGCAACCTCCGCTGAACCAATCAAATCGATGCCGCACCGCAAGAAAGCCACGCGTTACCAGTCTTCTACTGTAACAAAATTAAAACTAGATTCTGCTTCCCTACAAAATCGCAGATATTTTTTTAATCCATAAATTCATCCGCCACAAATCACCGCTAGAGTGTTGCACTAGCAAGGGCAACGCGATTACGAGCAGGACGCCACAACAGTAGCTAACTAGAAGGCTAACAAAAAGAAGACAAAAAACTAGTGGCTGTCAACAATCAATTTTACGCCACCACCGTCACACGAAGGAGTTTTCGGAACCTGAGCTGCACTGCAGCACCTTCTTCAACAAGCTCCAAGTTCCTCCACAATACACCAAGGAAGATAACAATGCCGTAGGAGTCGGAGCTTACGCACAAAGAATTAAAAAAATGAAAGAAGAAAAGATAGGGGGTCCGAGGCGGCCAAAATTCCTATCGGCAATGAGGCTTCATCCGCCCAGATGCTGCACTTGATTTCCGGGGTCGATGCTCACTGAGTTGATACCCGGTTCCGGATAACGTGTTGCTATTCATACCTGATACACATATCAATCCTCGTATCCATATTGCATGTGGAATCGTATACCTATCATATTTCTATTATATAGTTATTATATATTGTATTGTATAACTACTCTATTCTGACCTATATATTACTATATTCTGACTATATATGCCCCATATTTTGTACCATATCTACTATTGTATCTGGACTATAAACTGATCATATACAATCATGTAATACTAGAATCTTAAATATTCTAGATTTCTTTTAGATATTCTTAAGATGCTAAAATGAAGCTTCTATTGATTTTTAAATTTGGTTCTAAGGTCAATCTACTTGCTTCCTTCAACTACACAACTTCTTGGCATAGACTCTAGACTTTTATCATAGGCATAGGAATAGTGCTTTCATGGTTGGCGCTAGTAATGTATGAAATTTCTACCTTAAGAGTATTGACAAGCTTGTAAAGATTTGCGATAGTTGCAAATCTATTCCCACTTCTACCAAATATAACATTGATGATTTTTTCTTCTATTTCAAATAACTTAATAAATTCACAAGTCAAATTAGAGTAATTTGCAATGTATAATATCAAATTGGCATGTCTACAAAGAAGGATAACCCACTCTCATTTAGAAAAAAAATAATGTTCAAAAAATAAATGTTAGTTCAAGGTGAATAATTGGCAACCTTTGAAATATAATAATAAAAGTAAGGTAATCCACTCACTTTTAAAAAAAAGAAAGAATAATGATTTAGGACTCTTGTCAATCTTTCAATGATAAGAATTCAAAATAGATATACAAACAAGTGAAAAGTGAATAAAAAAAGAAATAAAAAATTAGAAATAGGAAAGTAAATATATTTAATAAGAAACTAGAATGGATATTGTCAAAGGCTAGAAAATTAGAGACTCTTGAAACTAGATTAGAAGTAAGAAAAGAATTGATAAGAATGGAGAAGGCTTTATTTTTGCCTCTATACATACTATCTACTTAAGAGCTACATGGCAACATTCTATAGACCTCCAACATATGTTTAATTTGCAAAACACATGTCTTAACTTGCAAGGCAAGTTTCCGATATGTGCACCACATCATTAACTTGTACCACAAGCTACCAATATGTGTAATATGTGGTTAATTAGTTGGCAAAGTTTTTAACCTATCAATCACTTTTGGACATGTATAAAGGTGATACCCTATTTATGAAGCTTCTAAGAAGCTATTCTATAAGATATTATCCAATTAACCTACTTTTATCTATTTCTACCTATTCATATTATCTAAATAACTATAAGTATGTCCATGACATCCACCCAAGTGTCACAACTTTGTGGATGTTTCAACCATTAAAAGTTGTAGAGCCTAAAGAATTGACAGTGATGGTGATAACAACACTACCAATTGTTTAAGCAATGATAGCTGAACATTCTGAAAGAATCTCAAAAGATTGTTTTGGAATGCTCATCATGGCTGGAATGTGTTATATTACAGGCACATGATTTTGGAACCATTTGATAGTTCATTTGGCTTCTTCCACAGCATTGTACTACCTAATTGGCATTTATTAGTAAGTCGCATTGCTCACCTAATGGGCACATGGGATTTGGTGGGAGTTCTATCTCATGCTTATCTAGGTTTTTGTCTTAATAGCAATATTTGAAGCAGGTTTGGAATAAAGAATAGTACTCATGAGCAACAATAGGTATCAACAATCATATATGTCACAAAACCTAAATCTTCTATCATTTGTAGAATTTTTTATGTTCTAATAGAGAAATTGATTCTACAATATAAGGTCTATGATGACTAATTCATGCTAATCACCTTTTTAAATTATTATTATTATTAATATTGTGGATAACAATATAGACATAAAAGAATGTCATGATCTGAAGATAGTTAAGCTTCCAAAGCACATTTGAAGTTCCTCTATGTTATATGATTGTTCTTCAGCTTTATGGAATCAGCTGGAAAATCCACTATGAGCATTATTAGCATTTAGATGTAAAATGGAAAAATGATTCTAACTTTTTGTAATGAGTTTTCAGATCACTATTACAATGAGATTTCTGGCATTATTATCACACTCTGAGCAAGTTCTACTTTTAAGGTATCAACTTTATTCAAAGCTTGGACAGTGTTGTGCAACACCCTGGTAGCCTTTGTAGATGAGGGACCATCTACTAGCACCAGCCCTAGAAAAAATATTTACCTTGGAAACCATATGGTCAAAAAAGAGCCTACAATGTACTTACAAAGTGGAAAGTACTTCAACCGACTCAAAAGCTAGTCAAAGGATGACCAAATGGAATCCCACAACCATCCATTTTGGTTTTAAAGGGAGTTTATGGAAAAAATAAAAATAAAAATCTAGTCTCATTTAACATCGTTTCTGGCCACTACTTCATGACATGGCTCCTGCTTTCTTTTGCCATTTAGCCTTGCTCACCATTTAGGGCGGTGATTTTGTTTTATTTATTTCATTTTTAATTTTATTTCGTGAAGAAGCTTCTAGAGAAATTTTTTGCCATATTTGTGGCATAGAACAAAGCACTGCTCTATAGTATACCAATAAGAGAAACTTGGGAGACCTTGCGTCTCTAAACGCAGATTGTGTGTTGAGAGCTTTGGAATTCAAGGCACAACCGAACCGAGGTCAAACACTTTTCGCAGAGAAAGGACACCATGCACAATGCTGCGTTGAGTTCATGTGTGATGATGACCTCGCAGTTGAATTCATCTGCAACCCAGAAGCCCATGGTTCTCTCCATGACACTGATATATTGGCAGATTTCCCTCCAGCAGGTGGCCTTTCACAAGTAAAGTTCAACACACAAGTCCGAAGTGGGTGCTCAGCATATTTCAGCAAACTTCCAACACGGCAGAATAAGAAAAATCTCTAACTGATTATGTTACTTCAATCAAGTTTTGGAGAAACAAGTCGATCGGGCTACATCCTACCAGAACTCCCCACATAAGCAATTCTCACCCAGTGCAGAACACGGAGCTCGCTTTGCCTTCTCTTACCACAATGGCTCAGGTCCAGAATGAACCTGACACGACGTTTACCTTGTACTAGACTCTAGACATGCAGACTCGTGAATGCATCCTCTCAGTGGCTTCGGATGGCTTGTTGATGTATCCTCCTGGTCCACACCGAGTATCAGCTCTTCCAACCCATCCTTGACTGCGAGGACCACGTCGAGAGTGACTAAATCCGGGCTTCATTTCCTCGTCTAGACGGTGTGGATATCATCATATCGGTATGTAGGGGCTTGGCGACTGAGTCAACGAGATACACAGACAGACAGAGATGATGTATTTGCCAGTCTCGGACTCAACCATTGTGCTTCGTTTGTTTGGGATCGAGATTGATTGCTAAACAACGATGGGAGAACAGGAGAGAGGGATTGTTTGGCTTGGCTGTTGGATTCTACCTTTTGCTTGCTTGATGCAGAGCAGTTGATTTCATGTTAGATGAGAGCAATGCTGCAATCCTTGGTGCTTGATTGAGTGTTTATAGACTTCTAAATCAACAAGTGCTGTAAAGTTTAAAATGAGCGTAAGAATTAAAATGTAGTGAGATTCAATTAAAGGTTGAATTCTAATGTTGTATGGAAAGACAAGTTGGAATTGAAAATCAAGGTGAAATAATCATAAGCAACGGATGAATGCATAGAAAAAACAATAAATGATTGTAGAAAAATTGGATGTTCTTAATTGGATTCATATAGTTTTTATATTAAAAGTTAAAATGCTAAATATTTTCATCCTTCATGAAAAATAAAAATAAAAAATGAAAATGAAAAATCAAGTAGAAGTATTAAGAATTAAACAAAGGTTGTCATTTTGAATGACATAGTATTGGTTTTTTGTCACTCCATGCATAATGATATTGCATAAAGAAACTATACACTTCTACTAAATTTGCATCACTTTCTTCTCTTCATACTTTTAGGCATCTATAATTTGTTCTAATGTCAAATTAAAGCACCACAATTTTCAAGTTATCTATCAATCTTATCTTGAACAACTTTCAACATTACTTTATTATAATATGTTAGATTATTTTATATTTTTATTTTTGATTTGAATGTCTTTATAAATAAAAATGTTTTTTTAAATCCATATTATTTTAATATTAAATATTTTAGAATAATTTTATTTCATGTCAAAAAAAATGAATATAAAAGAGAGTTTATGTATAAAAATTCCTTATTGCCAAACAAATGTTTTCTAAGGCCCTAAATTCCTTCGACTTGAAGCTAATTTATGCCTCAACGATTTCTGAATCCATACACATTTATTTTAGAGTATTTCCAAAACTAATGTAAACTTGTCTGTATTGTTTGGTGCATACAGAGAATTTTCTTTTATAAAAGTTTAGGATTGTCTTTTACTCTCTACTCATTTATTGCCATAAACTTTTGCCAAATTAACTGTATCAACATTGCTTCTTCTTTTTTTACTCTAGCTTTAAACTACACATCTTTCTAATTAAATAAGAAGTCTACAATTCATATATTATTCTACTTTGTATCTCTTAAATTTCATTGAATATGTGTAAATTACATATTTTTTAATATGTTTAAATTAATTTAAAAATATGTGTAAATTACATATATGAAATTCACACATATTTACATATGTGTAAATTTACACATATTAAAATATATGAAATTTACACATTTGTAAATTAATTTTGTTTTCAAAAAATTTCATGTATTTTAAAAGCATTTGAAGTTAGTCTTCTAATATTACATATTTAGATTAGAACACAATTTATTTATTGCATCCAAAAATATTTCTAAATTCATTTTTATCCATGCTTCTCTTTTGATTTTAGAAATATTTTAAATTTTTTGACAAAGCATTCTATAAGTTGGAATTTTTTTCTATTACTATGCTTACTATCATCTTCTAAAGATATGGATAAAGTGAGATTGTAGTGTAATACTTTTAATTGTTTCCAACTTGGTACATTTTTATTTTCATACATAATAGAAGATAATATAAATAATGCCTGTATTTTATATGGATAAAAAATGCCACATATTTATCATATTTGATCAAACTTATATGCTCAAATTATACCTAATAGATTTTAAATTATAAAAACTGAGAAAGAGTTTTTTTTTGAATAAATCAATCTAAATTTATGTTTGAGAAACAAAATTATATAAAATTCATGGTTAATTTTACACAACTTATAACAATATAAAGGCAACAAAAAATAGAAGTCCATATAAAACAAAAAATTATTTATAGTAATATATGTATAGATATATATATATAGATATATGTATGTATATCAAATATAAGAATCAACCTGAATAATAATTTTTTTATGCATTTAAAAAAAATCCATAATGAATCTTTTAAATCATATTAAAACTTGATTTATTAAATAATTATTAACACGAGTTTTTGTACATTGATTTTATATATCTATTCAATAAATTATTTATTAAATTAAAATCTTTTGATTGTAAAAACTGTTCATAAATTATGTAAATCACAAGATAAATGATGGCAAGAAGAGTTTTGGATGAAATCAAATTATTTCATAGAGAGATTTTATTTTAAAAAGTCCTTGAATAAATATTTATTTGTACAATATCCTCCACAAATCAAGGAAGAAGTATACCCAAAATTTAAAGAATTTTATTAAATGATATTTCAACTTATAAAAGAATAATTCTTTGTTTTTATATAAGATTACTAAGGTAAAAATACCAAGTTATAATGAAAATATCTAATGATTTTTAGTATGTTTTCTTTTTCTCTTCTTTTTCCTGTTTTTAGACGATAAATATCTATTAAAAAGGCAAAATAGATAAACTTACTCTAATGAATTTAAGCACAACTTGTGCACAAACCAATACTCTTCTTTTTCTTTTTCAAATAAACATCCATAAAACTATAACATATAAATTCAGAGAAAATTCGAAGTTGCTAAAAATCAACAATCAAATTTTCTCGTTTTTTTCCACACATTAATGACAACATTCTAACCACTATTTTTTGATGAAACATTTCATTAGAAGGAAACATTAAGCATTCGTAGTCCCTAGCTTCAAATAATCATTGCTTGATATTTTGTTAGCTTTGGAGAAGGTGTGCCATTTAATTGTCTTTTCATTCAAAGGATTTGTGCGTGGAACAAATAATAAAAAAAAATCGTGAATCTGGAGTTCGCTACTTTCATTTCTTGCGTACTCACATCCTGGCCGACCAAGATATATAGTGGAATGCAGAACTTAGAACTAAGCATTTGAATGAAAAGATCTATCAGACTACATATAATTCATATTAACTAGGCTATACTCTACCCACAGGTCCGAAACTAGTTTCCAAAGGAAGCAAAGAGCCGGCATACTCGAATACTTCAGCGAGCTTGAATCTGTCACACATCATCGAAGCTCCACTGAAAATGCCCCACAATTTTTCTTCGACGGCTGGTTGCTTGATGCCATGAAAGAATGTTGATGGAGTACTGTAGAGGAAAGATCGAAGATAGCGGAGCCGATTGTCGAAAGGAGTGAGAAGAATCAGTTAAATCAGCACCCACATCATCACATGGCTTCTGTTGAACTATACTCGGCGGAGAATTAGGAACGATTCATTGACGATAAGGATCAGATTAGAAGTTACAATGTCAACAACGCTCCAGTTTGCAGCATATTGCACCAACCTGCAGGTTGTAGAGCCTTCGATTCGATGTACGCTGCAGCTTCAGCTACACATACTAAATTTGAATGGCTTCAGGTTTGGAAAACTCAAGAAAAATTGGATGTGCTCAAGGTGCTGGGGCCTGCTGGCATGCTGCTCCCAGTTGAGACCAATCTCGACCACAAACGTTCGAGAATCATTCCACGGGAGCTTGCTGACGTCCTATCTTGCAGTTCCTCTCATGTAGGTTCTCTCTGCTCTAGAGCTTTTCGATTGGTCATTAGCAAAGTCGGTTGCGTGAAATAGAAGGTCTTGTTGTCCCACGGTCATGGTATCATGCTGGGAATTCTCCTTAATGAACACATTCTGCTTCTCAGATGCGATGAATTTATCTGAAGATGCCATTCTCGTGACGTCCTTTCCTGGGGTTGAATTTGCGATCGACGTCACCTCTGGTACAACTTCTGGTTATTCAAAAACAGGAAACACGATTCAGCTCTGAAGTTGTGACAAGTTCTCTGCACGGGTGCAATTCGAAGAGTACCTCAAGGCGGAGCCAGCGATTTAACGAGCCTTTAGGATCATAACACAATTGAATTCTATTTTTTCTTATACAAGAACACAATTCCACAAAATGGTAGCTGCCTAGTCTCAGAGAATTACAACAGCCAATAAGCCACTTAGATTTGGTTTCCTGGAAACAACACAGAAAACTGAAAACCTCTTGACCTCTACGGGAGTTAGCTACTACTCTAGTGAGCACAAAATAAATAAAGAAATAAGCACAGAGATAGAAAGAAATACCTGAAGATCCCACCCACAAGATGAAGAACACTAACAACATCAAGATTGGAATGCAGTGGATGCGAGACACAGGGTCAGGCCTCAATGCCTTCTTGTCGGGTGAATACAATTCCATTCCGTTAGGTTTGAGTCGCAAGTCGATGTCGCCACGGCTGCCCATGTCCACAACAATAGTGCCCAGCGAGGTTTTTGTGCGAGGCATAGATGGCGGACTCATAATCTGATCAGTTGACTGGAGAACTTCGCAATCGCCCGAGAGCTGTTTCATAGTCGAACTTGGTTGTGGTTGAATCCCTCACACCCTAACCCAAGCAAAACAGTTTTTTAACAAGATAACTGTGAACCGAGACAAGATAGATTCAGGCCCAGTTGATGGATCTCACACGAGAGTGCGAAGGAAAATCCCACAGACAAGCCAGAAACCCTCACAAACGCACTTCCCGACATTTCATGGGGAAACACAGACAAATCCTTGCACAGAAAACAGCCATGGCCTGCAGCGAAAGACAAGAACACTTCGAGCCTTTGCCCTCCCAAACATGGAGAACCACGATCTAAGCCATCAACTCCGTCCAACTGCTTTTGACTTCTGGACCCTCCCTCCTCTCACAAGAAGCTTCAAAGGAGCTGCAACGTGTGAATAAAAAAATGATCAAATAGTATCAGATCACACATCGGAAAAATGAAAGCACGCGTTGAGCAACATGAGCATCAGACGACTGAACTCACCCCAACTTGACCAAAGTGCGAACGGCTCTGACCCTTGCCGAGTGCAGCGAAGTGGAAGCCAAATATGGCAATGAGGAGAGCAGCACACTCCTACCCAGCTACGTGGAGTCGCAATTGTGCACAACAGTAGCTACAAGAGCTTTAAATCGCTATTACCGAATAATAAAGAAATACTAGCTTTCTATTGCTGCGCTCTAAGCAACCTCGTGGTGAACTTCCAGGGCGTGTTACAGTTCACGAGTCAAACAACTTGCGACTACCATCGACGTCTCTAAAACTGAAACTGTGGGCTCGCTTCAAAAACCCCCACACTAAAATAGCAAACACTTGCACACTAGCATGGTCTCATCGGGTGTCACTTATTGTCTAGCATTTCTCGCCCCACAGGTGAGCCATTACTGCAAATGTAGGCTTACAAGAAGATTGGGGACACAGTGTCCTTGGAGATTCGATGCGTTCCATGTGACAGCCTTTGTCTTCAATTCGGTGCTCTGTGTGACGCAACCGGAAGGTTTGTTCAGATGCGAGAAGCTCTGACACTGGCCTCAGCATTCCAGGATCTGTAAGAAAACAACCCCATCGCGGCTTTGGATGCAGTGAGGCTGTCAAGACCAGCACAAAGAAGACCAGGACTTGGATTCTACCGCAACGCTGTTTCCACTGTGCCGGTGTCCGCTCGGGAATATGCTTCGGGAGTGAGCGAGCGAGCGATCGCCCGCGCATGGGCACTGAGCTCCGAGCTTGACCCACCCAGTATGATGCGACCGGCAACCGACAACTGGATACCGGATACTGGGTACCGGGAAATGGAAATCGGTGACCGGAACGGCAGAATTGAATGGAAGGTGGGTGGGAGTCTGTCAGGCCGCCGAGAAGAAACTTTCTGACCGAAATCTCAGGGCATTCGTCCGTCGGTTATTTAATGACCTCGCCCTGGAAAGTGAAACGAAACTCCTGTTTTTTCGCCATGAACTAGTTACATGGTTTTGTTCAACGCTTATGGAAGTTGGATTTGTGTTTAATAAATATGGTTTCTTGACAATCTACTTTGTTGGTCTTGTAAAATGATATTTTTAGGATTACATTGGTATTAAGATCTATTAAATTGTTCAAATTTTTTTACAATCTTCTTTTTAATGAAATTAAATAAATAAATTTAGATAATTTATTTTAAAAATAATAAATCTACTTTAAATTACATGATTTATATTTTTTCATAGATTCAAAATAGATTAAAGAATATAGTTTATGTTTAAGTTTGAAGTATCCTGATTGATATGAGATATATAGATGGAACGTACTTTCTTTATCTATATTTCTTAAAAATTATTGCAATTCAATATTTACTATATATTTAAAAAAATCAAGAATTAAGAGCCAACAAAGCATGTTGGCATAGAATTTTGATTGCTATTATGTTTGAAGTGTTTTATATAGGTGCAATTATAATTGTATAAAAGCATATTTAGGTGTTAGAGATCTCTTATTGACTTTATGAAGCAATATATATATATATATATATATATATATATATATATTATAAATATAATTTTTAATATGTAATAGCAACTTATATAATGCAAGTCAAGTTTTTTTTTTCTTATTGTATGATTTGGTCTTATAAATAGAGATTTTGTTGTACTACATACATCTTTCAACATGCCAATAGACTAGTACAAGAAATATAAGTTAGTTGTGTTATATGACCAATATTGCTAAATTGACTATCTACACCTTATACAATACATTCTAGGTTAGTGTCTTTTTTTTTTCTTTAGATTTTTTAGAAGTTATATCAGTTTTTTCTTGTATATAAAACCACCCAAACTTTCTATGGATTAAGAGCTTATGAAGAAAGAAGTAGATGAGTTATCCTAAAATATTTTAATTGTGTATTTTGTAGGTTTCAAATATGAAGAAGGAAGATTTAGAGTTTGACAGGATGACTTCGAAGTATTAGCAAGTGGATTTATCTTTCTTAGCAAAAATCTTTACTGAGCTTACTTCTATCTAAAAACAACTTGAGAAGAAGTCACTCATTAGATGTTATTCAATCTCTATACAAATCTAATATCAAGTTTTGCATGTTTTAATCTTAAAGATTAAAATTTTGATCATTAAGTCATTTAACTTCCAAACTGAAATTTTTATTTAAGTTCATTCAAGATCCTAACTTGGATTGTCTTAAAAGATCTTCTAAAAGACTTCTTTAGTATGGCATCACAATTTGTAGAAAAATAAGGATAAATCTCAAGGTTTATTCTTATTAATGATTTTTCTTACACATAGATCATCATATCAAAGGTTATTCAACTCTAGCAAAATAAATCCAAATATAAAACTACTTAGACTTAATATAAGAGAATGATTTAGTCACAATCTAATCATCTTATTATAACAATAAATTATTTACAAAAAGTTCAGGGTATATTCTTGATTCTTATTCAAAATACACATCTTGCTGATGTTGTAGATTCTAGTAGTTTTACATCTATTAGACATAAGACAAGGAAGAATAAGAAATGATTGTTAAAATAATAGCAAAGAATTAACTTAGATCTTTTCTATCAAGACTCTCTCAGATTCGACTTATCATATATAACATTCAAAGAAGCACATGAGAATTTTATTTAATCTCATAGTGATCATTTTGAAATCATTCAAAAGATGGTTGTTTTATAGAAGATACAATAAATAATAAAAATTATAATAAATTCTAATGCATTGTCTCAATCCCTCCTATTTAAGAACACTTCAACACAAGAAACCAATATAAGAGAAATGTATTATGATACATTAATGCCGTAAGCTAACTAAGAAATAAAAGTCATAATGTTCTACCACCAAAAGACAATGTTGGAGAAGAGTGTTGCTTTGCACCATTGTTACAATTGTAATTACAAACTTGCCAAAATAAAATATTAACAAAGTAATTTTTAATACTTTAATGGTAGCATGAGGTTGTCTTAAGTCATTTCATTGCACAATTGATTTCAAGGTGTTTCCAAATCTACATAGGAGTTTTATTCAAACCTAGTTCAAGAATGCATGATGTGAAATATGGAAAAAATTACAAGGTGAATAATAATGCATAATAATATTTTATTAGAAAGAAAAAAAAATTACAACATTAAAGTGACTAAAGATCTTAAAACATATAAATCTAAGAAATTTGAAATAATTTCTATATAGCTTTTTGCCAAACAATATAATTTCCATGAAATTTTGTGGTCTTACATTATTATAGTTGATATAGCCATAAATATAAATCAAAGTGATCAAAGAACTTTGCAATTTGAAGCCTTGATAAGAGCTTAGATAGCAATGAGATCTTAACTTGATATAGCAGAATGCCTTCAACTTGGTTCTTTAAATCTACATTAAACAATAGACCAATAGATCCATCTACTAAAGATGATCCAAAAATGGATGATCTTCTATTCATATTATTATATTCTAAATTTAGATTTTTTAAAATTAAATTTCTATCATAAAAAATATTATAATGTATAATATTATGGCTTGTTTCATTACTTGATGCTCTATTTTTAACAAAGAAATTATCTATGCCTACGTAGGCCAATGAGAATTGGATTACTAAGGCTCTTTAATTTTGAGCTGATATAGAAATATTCACATTTGGATATATCCTTGGAGACAATAATACTTATATCTCTAAAATTTATAGATATAAAACTACAAGGGCTTGCAATCATGTTAGATCTCATAGCTATAAGAATACCTTTCTAAATAGACCAAGAAGAACTCACTAATAAGATCCAAGTTATAGAGCTTAATATTACTCAAGCATCTTTTTTAGCTATGTTTTTGTCTAATAATTTACTTTCACATCAATCTTATGATGGCCTTCTTTCAACTTTATAGTTTTAAAAAACCTTGTTTTTATCTCCTACAACAAATTAAATGGCTAATAATGAAAATAAAATAAATAGATAAAATAAATATAACTTCTATAGAAAAGACATAGGGCTTTATCTTATTAATTATAATAAAATAAATAGATCAAGTTTTTATTTCTATAAGTATATAAACTTCTATATTATTTATTCAATCATAAATAATATTAATTATTAATCTTCTATAGAAAATAAAAATATGGCCTATATAAGAGATCTTTTTCTTTGAAGCTTCTTTGTAATGAAAAAATGTTGAATAAGCACTTATTCATCTTAAGAGTAAGAATATGCTACATCTTTAAAAAGTTAATTATTAAATAAAAAATTACAAGATGAACTTTCTTTCCTTAAAATTGTATGAAGTTGAAAATCATCTCTTATAACTTTTTTTGATTAAATGATCCACTTAAAGTTTTCAAATTGAGAAGTTATATTCAAAGATTTTTTCCAAAATTCAATATTTTTTTGCTCAAAGAACACAATCTATGTTATACAAGAGCTTAAGATCTAAACAATACTTTATGGTCTAATATTGTCTTTTTCATCTTAGAGGATGTCATAAATTATGTTAATAATTCTAATAGAGCTACATTGAGAGAAATATGTATATTTGTATTTCTATCAATAAAAAAATTAGTAAATAATATCAGATCTTTTATGCATATCAAAGTATTTTTGATTATTCTAAAAAATATTTTAAGAGACTCTATTGGTATTGTAAACATATATGCTTCTAATAAATAGAATAAAAAAATTCAAGTGTAGCTTAATAAAGCAAAGATTCTTTCTACTAATATTTTTTATATTTTTAGTTGAGATTAGAACATGGTAGCATGTGCCTATGACATGTCTTTTTTATGGAATTGATTATCATCTTCCTATAAAGTAAATTCTTTATAATTACTAAAATTTCATATTTTTTAATTGACTTCTTTAAAAAATAAATTATAAAAAGATCAAATTTAAAAATATTAAATTTAAAAAATAGTATAAAATCTTATTATCTTTTAATTAAATTTATTCTTAAATTCAAAAAAATTTAATCTATATAATCTAACTTTAAGATGAATATATTATATTTTAATGTATTATATATATATATATATATATATATATATTTATACCAATAATCATATAAATAATATAAATAGGTAGAAATAAGTAAAAATAGATAAATTTAATAATATATTATAAGAATGCTTTTTAGAAGCTTTATAGATATAACTTCATGTCACGGCCATAATCATGTAAGCTAATAATTACATATAGAAATAGGTAGAAGTAAGTAAAAGTAGATAAAAGTAAGTTAATTCTATAATATTTAATATAAAAGCTTCCTAGAAACTTCCTAGACGCTGCTTTGACTTCATAGGTGTCTTTAATTGACTTTTTGGATTAGAAACGTGGTCAACAAGTTGGCCATGTGCCACACATGTTGTTAGCTTGAAGATCAAGCTAACTATGTGGCCCACACGTAGAAAAACTTGCCTTGTAAGTCAAGGCATGTGTCTTACAAAGTCAACACATATTGGAGGTCCTATAGAACGTCGCCACGTAGCCCCTAGTTAGATAGTATATATAGAGACAAGAGTGAAGGCTTCTTCACTCTTGTCAACTCCTTTCTTGCTTCTAGTCTAGTTTCAAGGGTCTCTAGTTTTCTTGTCTTTTGGCAATAGCCATTCTAGTTTCTCTTTTCAATATACATACTTATTATTCATATTTTGTTACTTTTCTTTGAGTGAAGGCTTACTTGTCTGAACTGTTTTTT